AACATGAAAACAAACTTTGTGCTGTTTGGCTCATTGTATGCATTGATGGACTCCTATAGATATAAAATAAAACAAATGTCAGGAAATTATTTTATCTGATAATTTTTTACCTTCCCTCCCTGGATTTTACTCACTTGTCTCTCATCATGGGGTGTCTGCCCATCCAATCTACAGTACTCATAATTTCTCCACATGCAATAATCTTCCAAAATATCCAATACCCTTGTCATCTGACTGAAGATTAGTACTCGTGAACCTGTTAGCAAACAGAACAGCTCATTTTCAGAAGCTTCAAAAGTAAAAAAAAAACTTATTTAAAAATTTAAGGCTAATCAAGGGCGCCTGGGTGGCTCAGTAGTTAAGCGCCTGTCTTCAGCTCAGGTCATGATCCCACGGTCCTGGGATCGAGCTCCGCATCAGGCTCCCTGTTCCCTGGGAAGCCTGCTTCCCCTTCTCCCACTCCCCCCGCCCCCCTACTTGTGTGCCTGCTCTTGCTCTCTGTCAAATAAAGTCTTTCAAAATAAATAAAAAAATAAATAAATATTTAAGGCTAATCAAAACTAAGACTAACCAGTTACCCCTTAATTCTAAGTTACCTAGTTGGTTATAAGAAGAAAACCATACATTATTTATTTATCCAAGTCAGTTATTCTCCCCATTTTTCCCATAATGGCACAAACAGAAAAGGGTAATATCCGTACAACACACTAAGGTAAACGGAAAAGGTATTTGTTCTGGCCTGTGTCTGTCCCAAGGCTGAGAGAATCATTCTTTTTATTCCACATGCACTTAAAAATAACCTTCTACCACCCCCACCACCACCGCAATTCTCCCATGTGCACGGCCCTGAACATTCCCCAACACATACCCAAAACCCATCTCATTCTAGTTCTGAAGACCCAATTCCAACTGAAAGACCATAACAACATAAATGTGGCCTCACATCTACATGGTCATCTTTCACTTATGCCATGATTCAAGTTATTCAACTGCCTTCCATTTCTTTAGCCAGCTGCACAATGCCTTCACAGCAGAATGTATGAAGACCAAGGAGTCATTATAAAAAAATAAAGATTACGAAATTATCTTGTCTCGGAAGCTGAGGCTGATAATCTACTGGTGTCTCACCTTGTACCTGAGATGCCTAAGGATGCTCAATAGTCCCCATTTTCCTTTCAGAGTTAAATGCAGCTTTCGTTAATATCTGAGTATTTCTACCAAGTTCTTGTGATTCCCTTCCACCAATTCACTCCTTTACTACTTAGCTTTCAAGAAAAATATTTTAGAAAATATATTTCCACAAAAAAGTGTAAAAGCAAGAAAAAAGTAAACCAATTCACTGACAACTCTTAGGAGGTTGATAGTCAATATCCTAGAGGTGACTGGTACAAAAGTCATTCTTATGAAAACACACAAGAGAAACACAAATGGAAAAATTTGAAATCTGACTGTATTATTTCACATTACAGAATTGATAATTTGTGTATGAAAAGCTTTGATGTCTCGGACTTCCTTCAAATTAATCTGCGAGGAGGAAAGCAGGTACAGTACAGATGTAAAAAAGTTTTGCCACGAGTCTGTAATTACTGAAGCTGGCATCACACTAAATACATTCTACATTCATGTATTTTAAATACATCTCTATACATACTACATACTCATTTTCACATAAAAAGCAAGCATGTTACAAACAAAACTGCTTTGGGTCCATGCACATGTCTAGTAATTTATTACTGTTTAACTTTATTACTAAAAATTTAAAAAATTTGTCATTTAAATAACTTAAAAATCCACATAAATAATTGAAAAACAATATATGAACACAACAACACTGTCTACCAAAGTATCTGGGAACTATGTGTGGAGAGAGCATTCTTGGCACTTTATAACAAAAAGCTGACATATCTGGGAAAGCATATATAAAATGAGAACTCTCCCCAAAATCCACGATTGTTAATCCTAAGAAGATTTATAAGCCTAGAACTGGGGGGAGAAAGGAAGCTCAGCTAATAGAAGTTTTTAAAAGTCCCACACTTCAACTTTATAAAAGTGCCAGGATTAGTAATTTCAAACTGTAGTGGTCCCTTATTTTACACATCAGAATTTCATCACTTCTCAATTTGTTACCAGTAACATAGTTACCTTGTTCTTTTAATTTAGGGAGCAGCTTGTCTAACACCACCATTTTGCCACTGTTGGTAACTAGATGCATATCTGTTGTATAAGGCGGACCAGGTTCAGCTCCATCAAATAGATACGGATGATTACAGCATTTCCTCAACTGCATCAGGATGTTCAATAACCTCATTTTGTCCATCTTCCCTGCAGAGTTTAATATATCTATATCCTTCATTAATATCCGAGTATACCTATTGAGAAGAAAAATATTTTAAAAGGGTTCAAATGTGCCCTGACCAGTCCCTATTACTTTCCATACTTAATGCCCTCCCCTACCTCAACCCAAAAATACCTGTGAAGAACCCATCAACTTCTAAGATGTGGTTAGGAGTTTACCACGTATAAAAACATCTTTCTCTTTCCTTGTTTTTCTTTATTCCTCCCATTGTTCTAATGTTCACACTTACACTTTGGGCCTAGAGATCCAAAACAGTATGTCTCCTTGGGATGAATTAAAACAAAGCAGTATGACACAACATTTTTAAATAATTAAGCAAAACTTAAAACTTAAGTTTTATTATTTTTATTTTTTATTTTTAAGAAATCTCTACACCCAACATGGGGCTTGAACTTACAACTTCAAGAAAAAGAGTCACAAGGTCTACTGACTGAGCTAGCCAGGCACCCCAAAACCTAAGTTTTAAACATAATTTTAATTTGTACTCTTTTCCAGGAGAAGAGTGTCAATATTTAATTACTATTCAATGCATAAGTGTAGCACTTGAGTGAGAACAGATCTAAGGAGGGAGGAAGAATCATGATAGGGTAAAACATGATGATGAGAATAAAATGAAATCAATGAGATTTAAATATAAATAAAAGTACATGGGGGCGGGGGAGATATGAGGGCAGTAAAACTAGAGCCACGGGCTATCAATTTTTTTTTACAGATAGAAAGGTCATCATGAATCAACAATGTGAAATAGCTGTAGAAAAGATTGTCACCTTAGCATATATTAACTTATCTGCTATCTTATAAAAGCCTTCCAAAAGTTTTAAGAACATTTAGTAAGGACTACTTTCTACAGTGGTCATGTCTTTCCTAGGTAACATGCCCATTTCTTTACATTTTATCCTTTCTTTTTACCAACAACTCCAGCCCCTTGCAAATACTTATCAAGTATGGAATTAAATACACTTGAAATGTAGTGTAACCAGTAAAGAGTAAGTATGGCTATTTCTCTCCTTTGAACACTACACTTATGTTAATATATGCTAAGGTAACAATCTTTTCTACGGCCATTTCACATTGTTGATTCATGATGACCTTTCTATCTGTAAAAAAATTTAATTCTTAGTGGTTTCTAGCCTTTTGGATTTCATACACCCATAAAACCTAAAAAAAAAAAAAAAAGGAAGAAAAGAAACTTATGAGGTTTTCAACATTTTTACTATGCCCTAGAGAGGTGTTGAAAAATAACTACATTACCACCATAAATTCACAAAGGGAATCCCGCCTAAAATAAAACATCCGCTCAGAATGGAGTCTTTTAAATTAAATATTTGTAATAGCTTTATGGACTAAAAGAAAGCACCTAAATTTTCTCTTATCTCTACAATCTCCAACTTCATCAGATCAGCCCTAATCCACAATCCAGTATTTATGAACCACCAAGGTAACCATCTGTCTGCATCTGTGCCACCAGTTTCTTTTTAAAAAACCCAAGTAGAGGGGTTTATATATATATATATATCCCTGTTTAATTAATGCCAACTTTAATCCTTGGATTCATAAACTCCCCATCCTGATTATAAGCTAAAAGTTTTAAGATTGTGTATTATAAATTTGATTAGCAAGTCCTAAATTACATGATCTCAAAACTCCAGGTTGAGTTCAACAGAGCAAACAGCAATTCCTTACAGACACAATTAGGAAAACAAAATACAAATGAAAGTTAGTGAAGAATCAATAGTGATTTTAAAACGTCTAAGAACACATACCATTCCCTTTGCATTTTGCTGAGACCCACATAGATTTTAACTTCCTTCTTCGGAGGCAAACTCTTTTCAACATCAGCTTTAATTCGACGAAGGAGGAATGGACGCAAAACCTTAAAGATCAAAAAGAAACAGAAATTATCAAACAATAATGATGTAATGTATGGTGATTAACATAACAATAAAATTTAAAAAAAGCAAAAACTAACGATGTAATGTATGATTAACAATAAAATTTAAAAAAGTAAAAAAAAGAAACAAATGATCTTATATATATTATTTCAGGATCTCAAAATTGTTTATTAAACACATGGAAATTTATCTGTTTGAGAATTTCTCCCTTCCCAATATAATTTATTACTGAGTTCCTGAAGGGTAATACAATATCATTACTTATTCAATACATATAATGAATATACACTTGCTATATTGTCATAAGACACTAAAAACTAAATTTTTTTTTTTAAAGATTTTATTTATTTTTTTTTGACAGAGACACAGCGAGAGAGGGAACACAAGCAGGGGGAGTGGGAGAGAGAGAAGCAGGCTTCCTGCTGAGCAGGGAGCCTGATGAGGGGCTCGATTCCAGGACACTGGGATCATGACCTGAGCCAAAGGCAGATGCTTAACGACTGAGCCACCCAGGCACCCCCAAAACAGTTAAGTTTTGATGCTTTCAACATTCACTGTCTTTGAGGTTTAAAACTAGTTACCATGTTCTCTTATCTATGGATTAAGTTACCTGCATCAACCACAGTCCAGAAGCAGATGATCCTCCTCCTAACATATCATAAGGTCAGTAGTAGACTAACACTACATCACAATGCCTACATCACTCACCTCACTTAATTTCATCATGTAGGCATTTTATCATCTCACACATCATCACAAGAAAGGGGAGTACAGTACAATAAGGTATTTTGAGAGACCATATTTATATAACTTATAAAATATTATAATCATTCTATTTTGTAATTATTGCTGTTAATCTCTCACCTCGCCTAATTTATGAATTAAACTTTCATAGATATGTATATATAAGAAAAAACAGTGTATACAGAGTTCAGTATTATCCGTGGTTTCAGGAACCCACTGGGAATCTTGGAATGTATCACCTGCAGACAAAGGGCCAGGGGGCTGGGGGGTATTACTGTATTTTTATGTAGATTGTCCAACAGTACTTAAAGCTATGTCCACATTAAAATGTTTTTATGGTTAGTTTTTACATTTACTACCCTTTTGGTGGGTGGGGGGATGGATGAAATAGGAGATGGGGATTAAGCAGTACACTTGTGATGAGCACAGGGTGATGTATTGAATTGCTGAATCACTGCATTGTACACCTGAAACGGACAGAACACTGTATGGTAACTATATTGAAATTAAAATAAAAACTTAATAAAAATTTTACTACCCTTTTCTTATGGACACAGAACATAGAGAGTATACAAATCATGACTACACAGTTCAATAAATTTCAATCAAGTAAACATACCCATGTAATCAACTATCACCTAGATAAAAATAGAAGACTGCAGAAACCCTTCTTGCAACCTTCCCAGTCACTATCCCCCTTAAATTTTAACATCATAGATTAGTTTCGCCTGTTATTTTTAACTTTACATAGAATTATACAATATATACCTTTTATCTCGTTTCTTTTATTCAACATGTTTGTAAAACCTATCCATGTTGTATGTAGCTCATTCTCATAAAATTTTAGAGTATCTACAAAACTAAAGATTCTTTATTTGTATCTTCCTATGTTCTACTTACACTAGCTTGTAAAAATATGATCACAAAGAAATTAAAAACTGGTGAGAAAAATAATCAGCAACACTTCTCTAACGTCATCATGTAAGGAAACTTGTATAGATAATCTTAGCTGACAGCCAGCATCCACTGCCAGATGTTACTAAAGACCTTCAGCCCCACTGGCCCTCCTCAGAATTGTCCAGGTAAACGCAGCTGTTTAAATCCAGGTAAAACCAGCAAAGAAAACACTCAGCCAACCCATAAGTTCTAGGATTACTAAAATAGATACTATTAAGGGTTTTTTGGTAGGAGAGGGGAGTATTCTGCATTAATAGATAACTGATTCATTAAGTAAAAATGACCTCATTCCTAAGTATACCTATGCTGATTCTGAATATCCTCTTTCATCACGAGACCACAGGAGCTAAGGTAGGAATTTTAAGACAGTAGAGAAAGGTAGCTACCAGACCTCTTCCCGATTTGATAAGCATTTTCACACTACTGTCTGAACAAAATAAACAGCAATGCCAAAAGTGGCTGATTCTGTTATGTAGATTGTTTTACATACATGTGTACCTATTAAAGCAAAGTCTACATATACACTCCATACTCTAAATCTAAATTGAATGCTTACGTGCTTCAACGCCATCTAATTTAAAACAAAGATGTCTAAGATATTATCACCTTCAAAAATCTAACATAATAAAATTTCAGTACATGAGAATTTTAAAGTACGTTATAATTAACTTATATAGAAACAAGTCTTTAAACATTCACAGACTTAATTTTTCCCCTATTCAAATACCCACTATAAACCAGGCATTGTGCTACAGATACAAACGTAAGACGTTTCCTGCCTTTGTGTTTACAATGCAGCAGGAAAAAATTTGTAAATTAAACATTTCAACATTCAGTGCAAAGTCCTATCTAAAATGCCTTGATTTTTAAAGATGGGATACAAAGAAGCTTCTACGCTGGCTTCATCCGGATATTCAGTGGAAAAGGTGACATTACCACTGAGTGCTGGACTAGGTATCAGTGAAGTGCAGGAAAGGGGATACCAGATGTGGCAGAAAGGATCAGCAAAGACAAAAAGACTGAAATTAGTACAATGTTTACAGAAAATTGATAATGGGGTCAGAAATTCTAACAAATTAAAGTGATATAAGAAGTGAAACAGAAGTTAGAGAATGTCAGAAAAGTTAAATCATGGGGTTTAGGGAGGAGACTGACCCCCGCCCCCCATCCAGTGGACACTTGCAATGCCCAGCAACATGTTTGGTTGTCACAAATGGGGACATATTACTGGCATGTAGAGGGTAGAGGTGCCAAGAATGCTGTTAAACAAGAAAACCACCTTCCCTGTGCCCCTCAGAATTATCTAGACCAAAATGTCAATACAAGTCAAGAACCGTTGCATTAGGTCATGAAAAGCCTTATATGCTATGCTTACAAGGTCTGGTTTTATTCTGCTAGTCAGGCTATCATATTCTGGGTTCTGTTTGAGAAATTTATCTACCAACCAACTTTCACTTGTGAATCTTATTAAAAAGTAAAAAAGCTATTATCACAGCAAAAACTTACAACTCTGCTCACAATGCACTATTAGCAGTTGCTTATACAGTTGCAGGATTTAAGAACAAAAGATGGACCCCTTTAGCCTTTGAGAATCAAATCTCTTAGATTTGGATTACTTTTTCCACTCATTAAGTTAGGATTTCATTTTAGGTTCTAACACTAAATGCACACTTCACACCCCCCCAGCCCCCAGTGTAAGATTAAACAGTTAAGTGACAGGATTCAAACAGATCTAATTCTAGTCAACATGTTTTTTTTGTTATCAGAAAAACAATCCACTATTTTAAACCTCTTTCATTTTTCCCATTAGAAATATGCTTTAACCTTATTCCAAAACACTTACCATATGAAGCCTCTCAACTAGCTTTTGATCCCCAAGGCAATTGTTTGTATCAAACCATGAATCAAAATCCTAGTTAAAAAACAAAAAATAAATATCAGAAATATTAACCACAGGCATTATCCATAAATATCCTTTTTATGCTAGATGTAACAATGAATTCTAGAATTAGTTTAGTATTTGAGCTGTGAACTGCAAAAATCATTTGGTTCAATCCCATATTTTTCATGCGTCATTGTTAACAGTTCATTTTAGAACTATCTTGAGAAATCAGATTAAAAACATCAAGATGACAAGTTTCACAATGAAAAAGAATAGTTGGAAAGGAAGTTCTATAGAATTAGAAAACATTCTTGAAAAATATTTTCCTTTAGAAAAGCTGAAAAATTAAAATCACTTTGGTTTGTTCTCCAAGGCTACTCAGATTACTCAAAGTTTCCAGAGCAGTGTCAATTTTAATTTAAACTTACTAAATTACCAGCATTTCATTAGTATTTGGGTAGGATCTGAACAAGGATAACTTCCATATTCTTACCTCTTTGGCACATCTAGTATGTATTTGTGCTTTGTTAGTAAACATAATTGTAGGATTAATTATGTTAACTACAACAAAGCTTTCACAGATTACTAAACAAATTAAAGTGTCAATGCAGTAAGAAAAAGAAATCTCTAAAACAAAACGTCAAAATACACAAAAGCAGAACTGAACTATTTTCCTGAGACTGATTAAATGCCTTCCAAGAACACAATTTTCTCTATTCTTTTAGTGATCCTTAACATAACAACCCAAAATTAACCCTTTTGGAACTTACTGAGCTCTTCAAAAAGCCACACACAAGCACAGGCTCTTTCTCTCTCTCTCTCCACGTGGGAAACAAAGTTCAAAAATGAACTCTGGTTCAGCAAAAAAAATGGTAATTATCAATAGCAGACTCTTAATATACATATTACGTTCTTAGGTACAACCAACAGTTTGAATAACTACTTAGCCATTTTTATCAGTGCAAATAATCTATTAAAAGGTAAAGATTAGGTTCTATGTTTGTTAGACCATAAAAAAAGATGGCTAGACAGATTTTACCAAATTTGAAGACCATCCTGGGGAAACACAGGCTATATGAAGTTCACAAATTCATTTGGGAAATAACCTGAGTCCACGTACAGCCGCTGAAATGCAGGCCCAACGTGACTATTTGGTATGTGAATCCATGACATTACAGAAAGAGAAAACAACTGATTTATAGAATGATACTGAAATCAAAAGGCGTAAAAATAAACTCTCGGGATGGATAAAAAACTTGGTAGGTTACACCAGACTACGTAAAAGTAAAAAATTAACAATTATCTTAAGCAGTGGCTAAAAGGCCAATTTTATTACAAAAATGTATAGCATTAAACAAAAACATTAATATTCCATCCAGAAAACAATAAGACATACTTACATCTGCTGAATTAAAGACATCTGGCAACAAAAAATTAAGAAGTGACCAGAGCTCATGCAAGTTGTTTTGAAGAGGTGTTCCAGTCAGTAATAGTCGATTTGTGGTCTTGAATTCCCTCACTATTTCTGACAACTAAAAGAACCAAATTCATCATGAGAATATTCTACATACTGATCAAATTCTAAATGACGGCACAATGATTTTCACTTCCAAATACCAAATTACCTTGGATTTTTCATTTTTGATCCTGTGAGCTTCATCTATAACTAAGTACCTCCAATTAAATTTTTTGAAAACAGACTTCTCTTTTATAAGCATTTCATAAGATGTTACACATACATCCCATTCTCCTGGTAATAAAACATCTCTGACAAAAGCAGCCTGTGTAGGTAGCAAGAGAAAAAAATTGTATCACGCAGAAATGAACTACACATTAAATGTACTGATGACAAGTAATCTAATACATAAAAGAGGGTGAAAAATATTAAAAAGGGATAGTATGTAAGCAACTAGAACCAGCTCAAACTAACTTCATTAATCATTTCTAAGTGTCAAAGCCATTTAATAAAAAATAACGGACAAAACTGATGAGTGCAAAATTCAATAAACTAACTCTTAAATGTCTTCTCTTCATTTCCACCAGCTGCTGAAATTCTCAGGAAACGGGTTTAGAAAGAGGAGAAGGTGGCTTCTGCCATAGAGTGAAGACTCAAGGATGGTTTGCAGTAAGCATTTTCATTCCTTTCATGTTTACAGATCTAATAAAACTTTGTTATTATTAGTCCCATTTTACAAGTAAAGAAACTAAAGCAAAAAGTGGTTTAACTTGGGCTCCAAAACATAAAAAGCAACTTGGTAACTTAAAATACACAAAATGATCTACAACAAAAGGAGAAAAGAAATGATAGCTGAATGAAGAGAAAACAAAATTACGTACATTATTCTTCGATATACTACACTTTAAAATCTGAACTTTATATTTTCAATAGTATCATTAGTTCCTTCCAAAAAAAGTCAAGTGACCAACATTTTAACTTATTTCAATAAATACCATACCAACTCACCAAAATACTGTTAATTGACCCAGTCCATCTTTAAAAATTGCGATGACTATTAATTAGCATTATGTACATCAATCTAAAAAAATCTGGCTCCTCAAATTTCCAACCAATTCACACACTCAGAACTTCTTTTAAAAAAAAACAAAAATGTTTCTTCTAGAATGAGAACACAGCCTTTGATTTTATACAACCAATTCCAAAGTAAAAGAAACAAACTATACTTGTATAGCATCCTACAGTCTACAACTCCTTTCTCCAGTAGGATTCTTCACCACCAAAAATAGTATTACATTTATAAATTACTAATATTTGTGAAGACCAGGTTTATTACTGGACTCCTCCTCTTTTATCCCTCCTCTAGTTATGCCCCCCAAACCTAAATTCAAATTCTTTTAATATCAAAAATGTAACGAAACACAAAAAGCTTACTCTTTGTTCTTTATCTCCTATCAAACAAACAGATCTAAGTGTTGGTACCCATCTCTTGAATTCACTCATCCAGTTGTGTAATGTAGACTTAGGAACCAAAACCATATGAGGACCAGGAATGTTTCTATAGTGTTTCATGTACCCAAGAAGAGAAATTGTTTGAAGAGTCTTTCCCAGGCCCTGAAAGAATAACCACAAAGCAATGATAATCAAAACAAAATAGACACCCATACTTATATTTCCTGACACATAAAAACATTTAAAAGAAAACCTATGTGTGTTTATGATAGCTAACAAATGGCAAAAACTTGGTATGTTTCAAGTTTAGCTGTGTTTTTTAATCTTCACAAGTCTATAAAGAGGTTCTAACTAGCCATATCCATAAGGCCCAGAAGTTTAAGTGACTTTCCCAAAGTCATGCACAGCAGGGCTACAATTAAGACCCATTTCTTTTGACTCCGTACTTTCTTCAAGCAATTACGGTTTTAGCACTATAGCTCTATGGAAATTTGAAACATTCACTACATACCTATTAAGTAGTAAACAAGAGATAAATGTTTTGAAATAGAACTGTACAAGCTGCCACCCTTGAGAAAATAATCACTGATGAAAAATCAATTAACCCCATTTGTGTTGTATAAAAGTGAAGGGAAATGGCCAAAACAGTATTATTACAAGAGTCTACCAAAAGTACGTCTCTCAAAATGTATTACTTTTAAATTTATTATACTTTTATAAATAGTAATTCCTCACAACTGAAGTAGAGATTCTGCTTATGCAACTAAACCAAGTTTGACAGAGGATTAGTTTGTTAACACTTCTGGATTGTAATCAACAAAAATTATGTTACACTATCTTAACTTTTATAAATTTCATGATACAAAATACTTTAAATTACAAAATATGGCCTTCTAAAAAACTACCAAATACATACCATTTCATCTGCAAGGATACCATTGATGCCATTCTCATACAAAGAAATGAGCCAATTTAATCCTCGGACCTGATAATCTCTCAGTTTACCCCACTTTACATCTAAGAATAAAAGAAAAAACATGATGCACATTTTAAATACAGAAAGGCTGTCTCCTTCTTCATTTGATACTCAGAGTGAGTCTTAACTTGGACCTCCATAGGTTTACTCTGACTTTTCTGTTTTCAATTTCTAAGTCATTAGAAGTAGCTGCTGTGATCTGAAGCAGAGAAGGAGTGAATGGACAGGGACAATAACCAGGTGAAACAAAACAAAACAAAACCATGATTGTAAAGCATCAGAGTGCCTACCCCAATCACTCAGTTCCTATGTGACCTATATACTGGTCCTAGAGACTCTCACCTCTTTATATCCTTTTTAAATGTTATCACAAAAGTTTCTTTTTAAGATTTTAATTTATTTACTTATTTGAGAGAGAGAGTGAGAGCACAAGCACGGCAGAGGAAGAGGGAGAAGCAGACTCCCCACTGAGCGGGGAGGAGCCCGATGTGGAGCTTGATCCCCGGGCCCTGGGATCATGACCTGAGCCAAAGGCAAACGCTTAACAGACTGAGCCACCCAGGCGCCCCACAAGTGTTTTTAAACCAAGTACTTCCACCTTCCATGATAACCCAAATAGACACTCTCTGGGGATTTAGTCTTCCTCCTAACAAAGGGAAAATAAGACAGGATAGAGATTGTTTTCCCTTTACCTTTTCTAAGTTACTTTTCAACAGGGTCCTGTTAAGAGAGACAGTATTTCTTTTGGGGTTTACTACACATTTCCCACCCCAGAATAATTACTAAGTATATCCATCACAATCACCAGATGTTTTTAACATGCACATCTGTACCCCATCACCTTTCAAAAAACACTGCTTTAAGATGAAAAACTAACCAATACTGGGAAAACTAGTTACAATGTAGGAATGTAAGAAAGAGATAATCCAAGTAATTCAAATTTCCTTCCCCCTTTGTACTATATATCTGGCTCTAGTCTCTAACTTCATGAAGGAAATGGAAACTGGGTACTCCATAACCAAAAAACATCTGAAGATACATACTTTAAACAGATTACTGAATTTCTAACCAGATACCATCTTGCCTGAAGTTCAACTTGTTAGGAGTTAAAGTTACAGTTAATTAAATAACAAGTCAAAATATATCCTATATATTGACCTTTCTAAATTTTTGTTGCTGTTCACAACCACTACAATCATACAAACCAATTATCAAGGAAGAAAGAGGAAGATCAGAAAAAATGCTAGGCTGCAGTAAAGACAAATGTGCCACCAGACTATCAAGATTATATAGAAGTAAAACTTAAAAACCTGGCTAACCAGGTTTTCTTTTGGGAAACCATTAATAACAAATGTTTCAGAAAAAAATTTAAAACAAACTAATATAAAATCCCGACATCAGTTAACAAAAGTCTTCATGAAGTGCTTTTTTTACATATGAAGTTTTCTTACCTGGGGCAAATGTAAGGGAAAACCATTCCTAGTTTTACATATACATTCAGGCAACAATAAACACAATGGCATTTTATGCCCCTTTGAAATACAGCACCATTATCATACTGATATTAATATATTAATACCATTTCCATCAAAAAAGAAATCTGATTTCACAATTTCAAAAGATTACTAAAAATTCCCTTTATAAATTACAGCCAAGACAAATCCAAAACTTTAACCAAAAGATGTCTCAAAAGGGGATTTTTTTTTAAAAAATCAAAATTTTAAATATAATGTATATAACATACATGATGGAGAATCTTCAAATCGAGTGCAAACATTGGTTGCTTTAGAGCTTTCTGTTAATAGTTCTTCATCTTCCTCTTGCTCTGTTCTACGATGTCGGTAGCTGTCAAGTTCAAGATAAAATCAAGTGATTAGCACTTTAAGCTTTAACTGCCAGCAGCTACTATTTGAACATAATAGTCAAGTGGCTGACCAAGATTCCACAATAATTTTTAATAGGCATTTAAATTAAGGCTAGAAAAGTGGAAGAGTATGAATTATTAGTACACTTAGACCTGAAATGTTTTACATGGCTTTCTAAGATATACATACAATTGTTAAAACAGAGTAACACCTGAGGTAATGGAATAATCTCATTCCAAGGAACTACAGTCAGAAAAATCTCATAACCTCTAACTTAAAGTTACCTTTTTATTTTTGCTAGAAAATAGCTCCAGAAATCACATTTTTAAAACTATGACCTTTTTTTTGAGAGAGAACGAACACAGAGGGTAGGGGCAAAGGGAGACGGAAAAAAAATTTAAGCAGACTCCACGCTGAGCTCAGAGTCCAAAGCAGGGCTCAATCTAAAAACCCTGAGATCACAACCTGAGCTCACGACCTGAGCTGAAACCCAAGAATCTGAGGTGAAAGCCAAGAATGGGACACTCAACGCACTGCACCACCTAGGCAACCCTTAAGAACTGCAACTTTCAAAAGGATGAGATTGTGCCATTGGAGACAACCCGGGTGGACATAGAGGGTATTATGCTAAGTGAAGTAAGTCAGACTGAGCACGACAAATATATGACTTCATTCATATATGAAATCTAAAAAAAAAAAAAGGCAAAATCAAAACTATAAACACAGAGAACTGATGGCTACCAGAGGGGAGAAGGGTGGGGCCCTGGGCAAATGGATGAATAATGTGAGAGGAAGATACAAGCCTCTAGTTATGGAATAAGTAAATCACAGCAATAAAAAGCAGAGCACAGGAATACAATCAATAATATTGTAACAGCAATGTAATAGAACAGCTGGCAGCTATACTTGAGATGAACAAAGCATACTGTATAAACTTGTAAAATCACACTAAGTTGTACATCTAAAATTAATGTAACATTGTATGTCAACTATACTCAAAAATTAAAAACAAAAAACAAAAAAACTTTCACTGTGGAAAGCATATAGTATAATGTATAGAGCTATGGAATCACTATGTTGTACACCTGAAACTAATGTAACATTGTGTGTCAACCATGCTTCTATTAAGAATATGTTTTAAAATAAGTCAAAACTACAACTTTCACCAAAAGCTGCAGAATACGCAGAATAAAGACTTAGTGCTTAAGCAATGACTCTCAGCCAGAGATTTATCAGAATTACTCAAAGCTTTTTAGAAATGCTTAGATTCCACATCCCAAGAGAGCTGGGATACATCCCCTTAAAACCTCATTTTCTGCAGTTTTAATATTGCCAAATTTCTTAATCTCTAAAGGGCTCAGGTTAGTAAAAAGTAC